TACAGCATAAATCCACATTTTATTTGGCCTTCCAGAACCACAAGGTTCTGTTCAGCGCGTGTTTACATACAGAAGACAAAACATCCAGACAAACATTCTTTCCCAAGGTCCCCGCACTCTCTGTGAAAGCCAGACGTCAACATTCTTCACTCTGAATAAGTGAAGACTCCACGATTTTATAGTTACAAGTTAAATAATCATATGTGATGAATGAACAAGATGTTTAACTGAAATGTTTGAATAACCTGTGCTTAAATCATTGAATGATAAATGATAAATGACCCGCACTTGTACAGCGCCTCTCAGAGTAAGGACTCCAAAGCACTTTACACTACAGTGTATCATTCACAATTTAAAACCAATAATTTTCTTACAATGATCCATTTATATCACAAATCACTATGTGTTTGATTCAACAAGTTAATCATTGTTTACACTCATACACCTCACATAGAGTTTTAAGACATTCTCATTCAGTGTTAAAAACATCTTTGTATCTGAGGAGGGCGTGGCTTTCTGAGGAATGTTGGTAAATACTCGGAAACGTGTCAAATTCTGATTGGCCACATTTGGCCAGAAATCATAACAAAGTAGTTTAATGAAACAAGAATTACTTCCCGATTAATTCATTTTCCAGCTGACCCCCAATTCGGCCAAATCGGGAAAGAAGCATCTCTTTTGAAACAAACTCCTTTGACCTTAAGTCACAACCTTTCTGCGACGCTGCAAGTGATTAAGAATAAGAATAAGAACAACTTTATTTATCCCGAGGGAAATTCTTGTGTCATGTACATGCTCAAAGCAGTTGGAGAGACAAAGGAACAGGTGAAATAGAAATATGATATACAATATATTCATTAAAAAAAATAAAAACAAAAGATCTACAGTAGTACCATGTAGGATAGTGCAAAACAAACAATCGCATATCTCAATAATTAAATACATGACTGCATCCTTGTGAATAAGTAATTAAGCCGTCGGTGCAGGCGATTCACAAAAGTGATTAAAGTATCGTGTAAAAGAATAAGGGTTTGTAGCAGCATATGATATGATGGGGGGATAAAAACATGTTTACAATCAGAACTCTTGGGTAATATTGCACAGTCGGTGAGGGCACAGAGTAACCTAGGTAAAGGTATTTGGAGAATCACCTACAGCGTGAGGAAGAGTTAAACAGTCCTATTGCCACCGGTACGAAGGATTTCCTGTGGCATTCAGTTCTGCATTTCGGGGCAATGAGACACAACAGCTCTTTTCAGAGCTACTTCAACTCTCAGACATCCACCTTGGACACCTAATCTGCAGACCCGGGTTGCAGCTCATGGCCGGGGAAGCTGAACTCAGAGGAAGCTACTAATCTCTGAGTATCGTGGTTTCGACATCTGGTGACCTCACCACTCAGACCGCAAACCTCCGGGAGCAACTCATACCAGGGTATCGTAAGCCTGCATACTGGTGTCTGATGAGGTTTTAATCAATAACTAACTCTCTAGTTTATAACAAACAAATTCTTTTACACCCAGGGTTCACAATTTCTCTCAGATACAAAGAAAGGTTGCTACAACATCTAGCTTCCATCACAACGCCTCACATCCACCACACCACATCTCATTATTGATATCTTGTCATGTATCATTAGTCTAGGAAAAATAATTAAATTCATTTTATTAACTATATACTGACTCTGTCTGGATTAATACGAAGTGTGTTTATGGTCGCTGAACAAGCAAAGAACCCTAGAATCTTCTGATTTAACATTCAAAGATCAATCAGGTTGATATTTCATATTTATATGGAATAGCACATCTTATTGGTCATAATTTGTTTTAATTGCTACAAACATCTAAAGTGATCTACGATAGAAGAAATCAGGCTCTGATCCACTTGCAGAGAAACACACATATGTCTCTCTGGAATGAGCTGCTGCTCATTATTCGACCGTCACCATCGCTGCAGGTTTTTAAGAGAAGACTCGTTTTTATCGTCTGGTTTTCCATGATGGGTTTTTATCTTAATTGCTTGTGTTATGACCTCTTTATCTGTTTGTTTTAATGCTGTTTTTATTAACCTTATTGCTCTTTTGTGATTTTATTCTATGTTGTGTTCAGTGCCTTGGGCCCCCGCAAGGTTGGTGGAAGGTGCTACATAAATAAAATTTGATTGATTTGATATTTGATGGGTTCTGATCTGAACAGGGAGAGACTGAAGATCAAGAATCAACAAGAAATGACATAAAAGCTGCAACCTGATGAGGAAATCATCTGACCGACTACAAATCATTCTGGAACAGAAGAACAGAACACATTCATAACACCTGAATGATGGAGGACACTAACAGGTCTGCAGAGAACGTTTAATGTAAGATTTAAAGTAAGATGCTGCAGATCTTCTACAAGTCTGTTTTTGAGAGTGTAATCTCTTCAGCCATCGTCTGTTGGGGTAGCAACATCAGAAGCAGGGACCTGAAAAGGCTCAACAGCCTAATAAAAAAGGCTGGTTCTGTTCTGGGGACGACTGTGGAACCGCTGGAGGAGATAATGCAAAGAAGGATTCTCCAGAGAATCAAGAAAATGATGGACAACCCTGAGCATTCTCTTCACAAGACTGTCCGACAACGGAAGAGTGTCTTCAGTCAGAGGCTTCTTCAGTTTGGCTGCAACACTGACCGCTACTGGAGATCCTTCCTGCCAACAGCCATTGTAATATACAACAACTCTTTGACGACTTGATTATTATTATTATTATTCTGAGCTACTACAGCAATCAATTTCCCTCTGGGATTAATAAAGTATTTTTGAATTGAATTGAATGTTAAAATTATTCAAAAATAAAACCATCATAACAACCCTAGACAGATGAAGACACGAGACATTCTGTATAAAAGACGATCATGTCTCCTGTCTAGTGTTGATGATCCAACAGCGGACTGAACCAGAACCGCTCTGAACTCTGTCATTTACCATCTAAACACACACTGTTTATTATTATTCCTATGTAGCTTTTTGTCACACTACTGGCTCTGTCAGGTCTGTGTTTTCAGGATTTATTTTTAGTCTAAAAATTTCCCTTTTTCTGTATTTTTTTATGGTCTTTGTTAGTCTTTTTCTAGTTTTGTCGTTCTTATAAAGCACCTTGTGGGCTTATCTTGAGAGATGCTATATACAAATATTTTTTCTTCTGCCTAGTGGTTTGCAAGCACATTACAGCGGTACTTGGAAACCGTTAATATTTCATTTCCCAGATGATGGCTATCAGTGATTCGACAGCATTTGCTGAACCTTCCTTAAAAATAAAAACAAAAACAAAACATTGGACTGTGATCTGTATTGCTTAATTAATTCACAAATGAATAAACCCACAGCTTTTATAAGTGATAATGGCAATAAAAATAAAAAAAGCTGAAAAAATACATGAAAAAAATGGTTCACCAGCAGTGCTAAGTTGTGTCATCAGAAATAAAGGGAATGTGGTTAATTTTCATGCTGAATGGTCCTTTTTCTTGGAGTGCTATGACTCAATCATGGCAAAGTTTAAGTTAAAAAAGATAACCGGTTTATTACAATCTAGTACATGTTAATACAAGCATCGGTACACCGGTGGGGAACCATGCAGCCCAAAAGTGGTTCTGTCTTTCCGGCATCTGTCCACTGCTTATACCTCTACAACAGCATCCCTAAAAACTCTGGTACAGGAACATTCCTAAGCCTGCTTAGAATAGCAAAATGCTATTGTAGGAGAATGGAGTCTCCACAGAGCCGCCTTGTAATTTATGACTTCTTGACAACAGTCCCAGCTGTCTCTCCACAGCCTTTAAGGTGGGATTTTTTCTTAGGGGCTCCAAATGAATAAAGATAGGACATTCTTTTTAAGCTGCAGTTATTACAACATTGTATGTTATTATTTTATATACAGATAAATTGTTTAAAGCAGACACCACCAGTATCTAACAGCTCTGAATTGCAGTGAAGAAGAAGAAAATATCATTTCTATAGCGCCTCTCATGATAAAAATCACGAGGCGCTTCACAAAAACAAAAAAAATGTAAAAATATACAAAAAGATTTAGAAAATGATTAAAAATATATTTAAAATGAGCAAAAATAGGCAATTGTGATTAAAAAATGTTAAGAAAGAGAGAGAGTGAACAGGAAAGAGGGAAATCAGTGGATCCTGAGGAAGGTGGAATAGGTGGGGAGAGCAGAATAAAGAGAGAGAGGTGAAGAAGGTCATCCAAAAGCCAGCTTGAACAAGTGAGTCTTCAGCTGCTTTTTGAAGGAGTTCACTGAGTCCACTGATCTCAGGCTCAGGGGGAGAGAGGTCCAGAGTCTGGGGGCCACAGCAGCAAATGATCTGTCACCTTTGGTCTTTAGCCTGGTGCTGCAAAACCAGTAGGCTTTGGTCACTGGACCTCAGGGACCTGCTGGGGGTGTAGGGACTAAGAAGATCACCAATGTAAGATGGTGCTTGTCCATGTAAGGCCCTATAGACCAGAACCAGGATCTTGAAATGAACCCTGAAGTTGACTGGCAGCCAGTGAAGCTGGAGGAGAAGCGGGGTGATGTGGGTGTGTTTGGAGGACTTGGTCAGAAGTAGAGCACAGGCATTCTGAACCACCTGTAGACAGTTCAGGGAGGTTCTGCTCAGACACGTGAAAAGAGAGTTCCAGTAGTCTAAGCGTGAGGAGATGAAGGTGTGGAGAACTGTCTCAAGTTCAGAGTGGGACAGAATGGGACTCAGCTTAGCAATGTTCCTGAGATGGAAGAAGGACGAGCGAACAAGAGAACTGACATGAGAATCCAGGGTAAGAGCTGGGTCAAAGGTCATGCCAAGATTCCTGACAGAAGGTTTAGTGTGAGAAGCAAGCTGACCAAGAGTGTCTCGGACTTTGGGAACAAGCTTGTCTGGGGCACAGATGAGGATCTCAGTCTTATCTTCATTCAGCTGAAGAAAGCTCCCACCATCCAGGTTTTGATAGAGTCTAAGCAGGTGTGTAACAGCTGCAGCTTAGACATCTCATGGGGCTTAAAGGAGATGTACAGTTGGATGTCATCTGCATAAAGATGGTAGGAGATTCCTTTGAAGGAGCTCAGGATGTGCTGAAGAGGAAGCAGATAGAGGAGGAAGAGTAGAGGCCCCAGCACAGAACCTTGTGGGACACCATGGGTAAGGGAGGTGGTGGAGGACCTAAACATGGAGATGGCCACAGAAAAGGAGCGCTCAGAGAGATAAGAGGAGAACCACTCCAGAGGAGATCCTGATAGGCCTACCCAGTCTCTGAGCCTCTCCAGTAGCAGGTGATGGTCAACAGTGTCAAAGGCTGCAGTCAGGTCCAGCAGGACCAGAACAGAACCGTCCCTGCATCACTGTGAGTCAGAAGGTCATTAGAGACCCTAAGAAGAGCTGTTTCAGTAGAATGAGCTCTACGAAAACCTGACTGGCCGCTATCATAGATGTTATGTTCATCAAGAGCAGCTGTGAGTTGTTTATCCACAACCTTTTCCAAGATCTTGGAGATGAACGGAAGTTTAGAGATGGGTCTGAAGCTGCTATGGAGAGAGGGGTCGAGACTCGGTTTTTTAAGAAGCGGGTGGATTACAGTGTTCTTAAAGTAAGCAGGGACCTGACCAGAAACCAGAGAAGCATTAATTATAGAGAGCATGCTGGGACCGATGGACTGAAAAGCACTTTTAAACAAAGATGAGGGTAAGATGTGGAGGGGGCATGCAGAGGTCTTCATAGAGTTAACTAGTTTGGTTAACTCAGGCAAAGAAACAGGAGCAAAGCTATCTAGGATGATTGGCCTGGTTGGAGTCGGGAGAGGCAGCGATAAGGCTGAAGGAGAGATGCTAGATCTAACCTTACTGACTTTGTCTACTAGGGCTGTCACGGTAACCGCAAAAATGAAATATCGCAATATGAAGAAGCCCACCGCGCTGCATCATGGGCCACCGCGATTACTGAACTCAATGATGCATGTTGAGAAGGATGGCTGCACTGGTATCAAAACGAAACGTTACTTCGCTCGTTTGGGAGCATTTTGGTTTTCAGTACGTCAGCTGCTGCGCAGCCAGAGTCCTTGGCCGAGACAGAGCTGCCACCAGCGGCAAAAAAATAAAAAATAAATGCTCGGAGACCTGCTGAAGTCCCGGACAAGCACTGCTTCTGCAGCCGTCCAGAAGAGAGTTTGAGCCGAGCTGGAGCTCACTCGCTACCTGTAGGAGGAATGCATCCACCCTAAAGATACCCCCCTGACATGGTGGAGCAACAACCGGGAGAGATTCCCTTTACTCGCACGCAAGTACGTGTGCGTTAGTGCAACGAGCACACCATCCGAGAAGGTTTTCAGTGTTGCTGGAAATGTTGCCACCCCTCTCAGATCCTCTCTCAAACCGTACATGGTTAACATGCTGGTTTTCCTTGTGGGTAACAAGGTCGTGATCGAGCTATAAATCACCGTCATTCGTGTGTGTGAAAGTGAAATGATAGTGCGCTCGCGCGCCCGGTACATGTAATTTTTTATGCTTGATTTTAAACAACTAAACAAAAGGGGGACTTGTTTCTTATTTGTTAGATGCTGCAGCCAAATTTGCATTTAAAAGTTTAACCTCCTGAATTTTGTTGTTTTTAAGTTCAGTCGGACTCTGACAGTCGGAGAAACAAACGTTACTGCGATCTGTGTTGTTACTGCCCTTTGATCTGCATTCAGTAAAGTGTTATAAAAGAAGGCACGGCAATTTTTAACCTTTTTTAAATGTGTAAACATTATGTTTAGATAGTACTGCAATAAAAAAGGGCTGCAATAATATCGCACACCGCAATATTAAGCCACCCTGAATCACCGCAGGGGGAATTCCTCAACCGCGACAGCCCTATTGTCTACAAAAAAAGACAGAAAGTTCTCACAATCTGCAACAGAGTGGATGGAGGCTGTAGGGGTAGCAGGAGAGACAATGCTGCTGATGGTGTTAAACAGCACCTTGGGGTTCCCTTTGCTCTGGGACACCAGGTTGGAGAAATAGGAAACCCTCGCGTCTTTGACTGCAGAATTAAAGGATGTCAGAAGATACTTTAGGTGCAGCAGATGGACGTGGAGATGGGCTTTCTTCCACAAACGCTCAATTTTTCTGCATTGGCACCAGGGAGTAGGGTTCACTGCAGGACCTGATCTGGTTCTGACAGGACAGATGTTGTCCAGAATGGAGAGGCAGTGCTCGTTAAACTGAGAAGTTAAGGAATCTGGGTCGTTATCAGAAGAACAGGGTGGATCAAAAGCAGCAGAAAAATTGCTAGCTGTGCTCTCATTAAGAAAACGAGAACTAACCAGATGGCGAGCAGGAGGTGGGGGCGCAGAAACTGACAAGTTAAAGAAGATGCAATGGTGATCTGAAATATAAACGTCCTCAAGACAAACACTGTCAGCATTTTGACTCGGGTAAAAACAAGGTCCAGAGTGTGCCCCCTGGTGTGTGTGGGGCCAGAAACATGCTGGGTAAAGCCGAAGGTGTCCATAGGGCTGGAGAAATTCATGGCAAAGTGATCAGAGGGATCATCAACGTGGATGTTAAAGTCACCAACAATCACCAGTCTGGACAGCTTCACAGTGGAGGATAGAAAGTCACTAAACTCCTGAAGGGAAGAACTGTTTGGACCAGGTGGACGATAGACCACAGCACAGTAGAACGGGTCCTTACGCCCGACTTTAATCAGCTGCAGTTCAAAGGAAGCAAAGTGACCAGAGGTTGTAGAGCTACATGGAAGATGGTCTCTGAAAACAACAGCTAGGCCTCCACCACGACCAGAACCCTTGGGCTGGCTAAGAAAAGAATAACCACTCGGGCAGAGTTCAATCAGACCAGAATAATCAGATGTTTGCTGCCAAACTTCAGTCAGAAACAGATAATCCAGGTTTTTAGACAGAATTAGATCATTGAGCAGGAAGGACTTATTGTTAACAGAGCGGGTATTTAATAGAGCCATGCTGAGTGAGATGGAGGAATCAGAAACTACAGAAACAGCTGGAGTTAGTGGACGTAAATTAGCAGGGTTAGATCCACTGTGTTTATAAAAACCACTTATGGAGGGAACCGGAGGAGAAACCACTGAGGAATGAGGATAAACCCACCTTAAAAAACTTGGACGGATGAACCGCGCCGCAACGCGGCCTGGCGGGAATGCGGAAGTGGCGCTCAAGTCACCAAACAAAGGAAGAGAAGCTAGAAGATCACGCCGATGTTTACTAGATAAACCACGCTTTAAGAGAAGTCTTATTCTCACCTGGATTCCTGCTCATTTACCTCTTTTCCTCCGACGTTTCCCGAGACCGGACAAACTCGCTGGAGGCGCGCAGGTCGGGACCGTCGTTTGGCTCCAGGCCAGTGCGCCACTCAGATAAACAAACAGGGAGGTACGTCCCCGGTGCATCTTGGGTGATCGTGAACGAACGGAAGGACAAAAGAGTCTGGCTATCATAGGAGATGGTAGCAGGGACACTACTGAAGAGGATCGCAGACAGGAGCAAGGTGGAGAAAAGTTTGAAAAAGAGGCCGGTGAATGCGGCTAAGGCAAGCACAGGCACCATCTTGTTGCCGACAGTGGGTTATGTACTACAACCATCATGGGCCCGTTGTCTTGTCTGTTTCTTAAATACAGGAGGGTATAACAGTTTTTTCTTAATCTTTAAGTAATGTTTTTTTGTATTCAGAATTCATGAATGAACATCTCAAATGTTTGGTTAAGATCTGAGTTTAAAAAACAAAGGAGATTTGAAAAATAAAATCAAAAGAAGAGGTGGCTCAAGGGCTGAGTACGGACTTGATCAACGACAGTAGAGCAGAGGTACAAGACTAATATTAAGGTTGTAAAAAAACTAAATAGTAATTTTGGAAGTACAGTTAAATAAATCCCTCGAGTCTTGTGTGGATGCTCGTATGTCTCTTTAAATGTGTCTTTTGGCTAAATCTTTGTCCACAGAGCTTACAGGCAAAATGTTTCTCTTCTGTGTGGACTTTCATGTGTGTGTTTAAACTATTTTTGGGCTAAATCTTTGTCCATAGAGCTCACAGGCAAAAGGCTTCTCTCCTGTGTGGACTTTCATGTGGTCGTTTAAATGATCTTTACGGCTAAATCTTTGACCACAGAGCTCACAGGCAAAAGGTTTCTCTCCTGTGTGGACTCTCATGTGTTTGTTTACATTATTTTTATGGCTAAATCTTTGACCACAGAGCTCACAGGCAAAAGGCTTCTCTCCTGTGTGGACTTTCATGTGATCATTTAAATTTGCCTTTTGGGTACATCTGTATCCACAGAGCTCACAGGCAAAAGGTTTCTCTCCTGTATGGACTCTCATGTGGTCGTTTAAACTATGTTTTCGGCTAAATCTTTGTCCACAGAGCTCACAGGCAAAAGGTTTCTCTCCTGTGTGGACTCTCATGTGTTTGTTTAAATTATTTTTATGGCTACATCTTTGTCCACAGAGCTCACAGGCAAAAGGTTTCTCTCCTGTGTGGACTTTCATGTGGTCGTTTAAATGATCTTTACGCCTAAATCTTTGACCACAGAGCTCACAGGCAAAAGGTTTCTCCCCTGTGTGGACTTTCATGTGGACATTTAAACTATTTTTATGGCTAAATCTTTGACCACAAAGCTCACAAGCAAAAGGCTTCTCTCCTGTGTGGACTTTCATGTGATCGTTTAAATTATTTTTATGGCTAAATCTTTGTCCACAGAGCTCACAGGCAAAAGGTTTCTCTCCTGTGTGGACTTTCATGTGATCGTTTAAATTTGCCTTTTGGGTACATCTGTATCCACAGAGCTCACAGGCAAAAGGTTTGTCTCCTGTGTGGACTCTCATGTGTTTGTTTAAATTATTTTTATGGCTAAATCTTTTTCCACAGAGCTCACAGGCAAAAGGTTTCTCTCCTGTGTGGACTTTCATGTGGCCGTTTAAATGATCTTTACGGTTAAATCTTTGACCACAGAGCTCACAGGCAAAAGGTTTCTCTCCTGTGTGGACTCTCATGTGGACGTTAAAACTATTTTTGTGGCTAAATCTTTGACCACAGAGCTCACAAGCAAAAGGCTTCTCTCCTGTGTGGACTTTCATGTGATTGTTTAAATTTGCCTTTTGGGTACATCTGTATCCACAGAGCTCACAGGCAAAAGGCTTATCTCCTGTGTGGACTCTTATGTGTGTGTTTAAACTTTTTTTATGGCCAAATCTTTGTCCACAGAGGTCACACGCAATAGGCTTCTGCCCGGTGTGGCCTTTCATATGATGGGTTAAACTGGGCTTTTGGCTAAATCTTTTCCCACAGGCATCACAACTAAATGATTTCGGTTGTTTCTGGACTTTTCTGCATGAGCCTCCATGTTGCTTCTCTTTCACACATTTTGTAGTAACCGAACACTCTGAAGACTTTACTGCTGAATGACTTGTCACTCTCACATGTTTCTGAAGAGACCACTTGTGGAGGAACTGTATACCACACACAGGGCAGCTAAATGATTTGTTGACTGTCTTAATATCTGACTCCGAAGACTTGTTCTCATTACAGCCATGGTCTCTGTTTCCAGTTTCAGGTCCAGAGTCTGAACGCTCAGAGTCTAGATTCAAATCATCTTCATCTTCTCCACCAACTTCAATCTCTGAAGAATCGGATGTCTTTTCATTAGGGTCCAGATCTAGGTTCTTGCTAGTTTCTGCTCCTCCACCAACTTTTGCTGTCATCAGCCCAGCCAAGCTGCTGGTTGGGACACCTCCGTCTTTCATTTGATGGTTGTGGAAATGTAAGAGCAGAGGTTTCTCATCCGTCTCCCCTCTATTCCTTGAATCTGCAGTAAACCAAGCAGAAATATATCAAATAAAAATATTTAGTAAAAAGAGAAGACAAAATACCTAGGGGTGTTTTTGCAATCAGTAATATAAATAACCAATGTTGGTAAACACATTACTATTTATAGTAATGCATTGCTTTTACAAATAACTATGAATCTAATGAGTTGCTTTTAAGTCCAGACATCACTATGTGATTGGTAGAAGGAAAAAAACCGCTATCTGCAAATTCTAATTAACGCCTCTCAGAGCCGGTCAAACCAGTCGTCCGTCGCTGCTACTGTGGAGCCTAGAGATACCCTGACAGCAGCATCGAGTCGGCCCCTCCCTTCCTTTCCCTAACACTGAAAGCGCGCAGCGGCAAAAATGTAAATAAACATATCTGCCGAACCTTTACTCCGTGAGAGTGCTGTAAAGTTTGTATCCTACAACGAAATCATGGCGCGGAGGAAGCTCGTTAAAATGCGTCAAAACAGCAAATGTAATACGTGTTATAAGAAGAAACTGTGGGTGGAGTGAGGTGAGATTGTAAGGCTCGCTGCAGAAATAAAAACACAGAGCAACAAAACTCATCTTTAACCCATAAAATAATAATGAGCATCTTGCTGCTAGATCAGCATCTTGTGATGACAGTTAGTTCTGCTCAGTAGGTCAGCTGACCTTAATCCACAAGATGGGGCATTTGGCACTAGAATTCCAGATAAAGAGCTAAGAGCAAGGTCATTTAAACATTTGTAGGCCAGAACAAAAATCTTAAATTGAACACAGAACTGAACTGGGATCCAATGCAGAGAAGCAACAACTGGTGTGATATGATCATGTCCACAAGTGCCAGTCAAAAGACAGGCCGCAGCATTTTGACTAGCTGCAGCCTAGCAATACATCCATGATCAACACCCAAGTAAAGACTATTGCAGTAGTCTAAACAAAATGCATTAAATGCATTAATAAGCTTCTCAAAACGATTCCTCATCAAAAAGGACATATAAAGGTTCTTTAGGTGAAAAAAGCATACTTGAACCACATCATTGACTTGAACATCAAATTTCAGCTAAGAATCAGTCTTAACACCCAAATTAGACACAACATCCTTTGCACCATATGAGACTGAGTAACTACAGGAGCACCACTTGGTGCAAACACAATCAACTCAGTTTTAGACTCATTAATCTGGAGAAAATTACAACCCATCGCTTAAAAACGACTTTCTCGAGAACCTTAGAAAGAAATAGCAGCGTAGAAATAGGTCGATGATATCGAGACATCAAGACCGGGTTTCTTAAGAAAGGGTTTGATTACAGATCTTTTCAGACTCTTTGGAACTTCCCCACACTGCAGACTAGAGTTGACTACATTATCAACCATATTTGAAATAGCTGGCCAAGCGTTCTTAACAATAGAGGATGGAATGATGTCGAGTGCAGAGCTGGATGGTTTCATCCTTCCAACAATTTCATCCAACATATCTGGGGATACAGAGTCAAAAGAATTCTAAGTAGTTGAATCAAAACAGATGTCTTCATCAATAAAACTAAATTGCTGGGGAATTTGAGCTTGAATAGTTTCAGCTTTGCCTATAAATTATGTCAGAAACCTCTCAGCAGTAGTCGAAGAGGCTTTAAGTCCACCTGCACACGAAGGATTTAAAATCTCATCCACGGTAGAAAATAGTACTCTTAGGTTATGCTGATTAGAGCTAATAATATCAAATAAAAAAAGTGGATTTTGCTTTTTATACAGCCATTTGATAGGAACACCATGCAGACTTCATGTCTTCAAATGAGGGCTGTGACCTAGATTTCTTCCAGTTCTGCTCACATTTCCTGCATTAGGTGAAGATTCACTGTCATCCTGGACATGATCATCCTGAGCTTTACTATAAAAAACAGCTGGGAATTTCTAGTTATCTTGAAGACGTTTTTCTTCTCATCCTAGAGGCTTCTTCACATTGGTTGTGAGTAGAAGGCTGTGAGTTAAGGTCAGAAATAAACACACACAAATGGTCTTTCTTAATTTTCTCTTTTGAAAATGTTTTAGTCTAAATAAAGGTGATGTTATTGTTCATACTGTAGAATTAAAGTCCAAGTAGGACCTGTGGTTAGTTGGCTCATTTGAAAAATGTAATGTTTTTGACCTTGAAAGAATCAGGAATTGTTAGGAATGGGAATTGAAACAGGGGAATCGTTCAAATTCAAATGATGCCCAACCCAACTTTTTGTCTGAAGTGATTAACGTAACTGCAGTAAACATTGACAGATAAAAATAGATTGTGACCAAACTTTTTTAGACCCTGCTGGGGCCACTCAGCGACGCACCCATTGACAACCCAACTCTGGTAATTGGCAGCTCCATAGTCAGAAATGTGGCATTAGAGACTCCAGCAACCATAGTCAAATGTTTACCTGGGGGCAGAGCGGGCGTCATTAAATCCTACCTGAAACTGCTGGCTAAGGATATGCGTAAATACAGCAACCCCAAAATTTATTTATGATTTATTATCATTAGTCCACATTAGGGCTGAAATGATTCCTCGAGTACCTCGAACAATTCGAGTACAAAAAATCCTCGAGTCAAAATCTCTGCCTCGAAGCTTCGTTTAATTCATGTTTAATTAATTCATGGCTTTGCAATCGCCCGGGGTCATGTTTCACCCGGACCGAAATAAGTGACGCACATACACACTGCACTGAATGCACACGCGAGTAGTGAACGCAACTTAACTTTCTCTTAAGCCATGGCGGACAATGTGGACCCCGGTGGAGTGCGAAAAAGACAGAAAATGTCAAAGGTGTGAGACCATTTTTCACGTCGTTAGGCGGAAAACGTAGTCCAGTGTAAATACTGTAAAACGGATGTAGCCTACCACAACACCACATCCTCCATGCTGCAACCTGACCAGGAAACATCAACATGTAAATGTCACTTCTGCAAGCGGACTCGGAGCCTCTACAAGATAATGCATTTTAGCCTGTATTTATATATATTCTGCGGACATTGTGCGACTTTTTCGTTTGTAGCACTCAGTTTCAGCTCACAACGTATGTCTGGTAGCAACACGTCGGACTTTTTACTGTGTTGTTATTGATGTCCGTTGTCCCTCAGGATTGCTGCAGGAGGACACAGGTATTTATGAGTGGGGGAGGAAAATGAAAGAAAGTAAATAAATGTTGTGTGATCAGTATAATTTGACATAACCACGGCAAACACGCTTTCGACAATCCTTGTTAGTGAGACAAGAAAAAGTGTAGAAATTAAAACTAACGTGTGTTAATAGGGAAATAGCTGGCGAGCCATGTTTGCGCATGCGCCGTGAACGGTTCTGGTGCTGTTTGGGCCGCAGCCGCTCGCATTTGTTTACTGTGAGGTAAAGTTGAAGTGCCGAAGTTTTGAAAACTAATTTTGAATAAAACTTGAATAACTGGCGACTGCTTTCTCATTTCAACAGGTCTTTCATATTTTATAACATGCTATTTGATACAATGGCTTAAAAACGCAAAAGAGTAATTTATTAGAGTACTCGATTACAAAAATATTCGATAGCTGCAGCCCTAATTATCATTAACATTATTATTATTACATGACAACGTAACCTGTACCCACCTCGGCTGAAGACCCCCTGGACGCAACTACGACAGGACACAGCGAAGAAGAGACGCTGGAAAAGGAGAACTACTTCAATCACCTGCACCCAATCCCCAACCTGGTTTCATGGTCAACGGATCAGAAGGACTTTTTGGGGACAGGATCAGCTCCCTGACAGGTGGACAACCACCTCAACACGCCATGGATGGACCCAGATGTCTCCCTATTGAGAAGTTGAACTGTGCGCTTTCACGTCCCAAACTCCATTCTTGCATTCCAGACTTGGACTTCAAGAAACTCATCAACTTAAGACTGAAAGCATCCTGATCAACAGATGAGAACTCGAACCGTTCCATCCTATTCTTCAACCGGGATTCTCAGTCCACGGACAAGCCCTTTGTTGAAAAACACCTGGGGCCTCATTTGTCGAGCTTGCTTACGCACAAAACGGGGTCGGAAAACTGCGTAAGCAACTTTCCACGCAAACTTTGGGATTTATGAAAGAAAACTCAGCAGAAAAATGTGCGTAACTTTAAGTTGACTAAGGACCTGGCTTACACACATGTTGGACATGGAGAGCACCTGCAGTGCTGCTGCTGAGAAGATACAATTATGAAATTCTGCAGCATCATCACTTGTACTGCTTTGTTTTCACTCAGAACAAGACCCCCCACATGCACGCGTACACACACATGCGCGCACACTCACACACACGTTTGCGCGCACATACACACACAGCCTGAAGCGCATAATACAGAATGCAGAATATCAGCAGGGGGACAGATTGAGACAAAATGTCATGCGTCTGTGACAGTGAGTGTCCTGTCGCTGTGACCCGATTGATCATGTGCCCTGGCTACTTGGCTAAGAGAGATTTCCGTTTGGGTGACTGGTTAGCACATGTGACTTTTACCCGGGAGTCTGGGGATTGAATCCCGATTGGACCATTTTTTTTATATATGCCACAGATCTCTCTGAAGAACTCACAGTATTGACGGCTTCAGCAACGCTGTGCCACTCCGTGGCTTTTCTCTTATTTGTTTTGCAAAAGCACTTCCTTTCATTTCTCCACCTCACCCACAGGTACCTCAATTTCTGCTTGTGAAATAGCGCTTCCTTGATCTGCCTTGATCTACGGTCGCCATGTCATTGGTGGAGTGCTGCAACAGCCGGCTTATGTATATGCATGAGATCCCCAATGCACTTTGCATTGACTATTTACGGCAGTAAGTGGGCGTGGTGAGGGCGGGATGTGACTAAAGCCGGGCGTACACTGTGCGACTTTTTCACTTTTTTGAGCCGATTTTCCACTCGTGTGAGAATCCACGACATCGGGGCAAATTTTGCGCCGAGCGGTCGTGTAGTGTACGGGGGTTACGAGAGGCGATTAACACCACGTGACCAGCTACCGATCAGCAATCGGGAGGTCGCACGGACTTCTGGCGTGTTTAATATTTCGCTCGTCCCTCGTGAGGGTATCGCACTGTTGAAGCGGCGCTGCGAGCGGCTGCGACCCAAAAAGTATCGGAACTGCTCACGGCGCATGCGCAATCCTGCATCAACACCGCTCGCTCGCTATTTCCCTAATAACACACGCTGATCGTTTTTGTTTCTACACGTTTTTTACTCACAAAGATCGTCAAGAAAGCGTGTTTGTCATGTTCATGTCAAATTAAACTGATCACTAAACACAGATTTACTTTCTTTATTTCGTTTTCCTCATCCAACCCCCATAAATCCCTGTGTGTCCTCCTGCAGCACTCCCGAAGGACAACAGGCAAAACAAGACAAAAAAGTCTGACGTGTTGAGTAAAAACTGCTATTTTTAGCATATTTTTTGGGTCCGACGTGTTGCTACCAGACGTACAGTGTGAGCAGTCAGGTTGCATCCGAGAACTGGGTCGTACAGTGTGAGCACATGACTCGTGAGATCTGCTCTGCGAGGAAGTCGTACAGTTTGAGCTGAAGCTGAACGCTGCGAGTGAAAAAGTCGCACAGTGTACGCCCGGCTTAAAATGCAGCTGAGAACCTTTCTCATTAGTCTCCAATTTATGAAGTGGAGATTGTGTGCAGCTGTGCGTACTCCATGTTTGAGAGGTCACAAATCTACTTCGCATAAGTACATTTTTTTGCTGAGCTAAAGTACGGTTTTAGTAAGGATTCTACACAATGTTTGATAAATGAGACCCCAGGTTTGCCTCAGCTTCTGCCATAGTTAGAGCTGCATAAAGTGATACTACCTGTTCCTCATTCACAGAAACAGTCGTGTGTGACCTGTAGCTTTAAATTCATCTGATGTTTCAATAAACTCTACTGATGTTTTCTGTATATTATATGGTTTTGCTAATCCTTCCCAATCTCTTTACAGGAACTGCTATACATTGTAGAATTGATGCATCACAGTAAATTCATTTCAAGACGTGTGAAATAGCTCTTCTTTAAGCCGGGCGTACACTGTGCGACTTTTTCACTCGCAGCGTTCAGCTTCAGCTCAAACTGTACGACTTCCTCGCAGAGCAGATCTCACGAGTCATGTGCTCACACTGTACGTCTGGTAGCAACACGTCGGCCCTAAAAATATGCTAAAAATAGCAGTTTTTACTCAACACGTCAGACTTTTTTGTCTTGCCTGTTGTCCTTCGGGAGTGCTGCAGGAGGACACACAGGGATTTATGGGGGTTGATGAGGAAAACGAAATAAAGAAAGTAAATCTGTGTTTTGTGATCAGTTTAATTTGACATGAACATGACAAACACGCTTTCTTGACAATCTTTGTGAGTAAAAAAAAACGTGTAGAAACAAAAACGAACAACGTGTGTTATTAGGGAAATAGCGGGTGAGCGGTGTTGATGCAGGACTACGCATGCGCCGTGAGCGGTTCTGATACTTTTTGTGTCGCAGCTGCTCGCAGCGCCGCTTCAACAGTGCGATACCCTCACGAGGGACGAGCGAAATATCAAACACGCCAGAAGTCCGTGTGACCTCCCGACTTCTGATCGGCAGCTGGTCACGTGGTGTTAATCGCCTCTCGTAACCCCCAGTACACTACACGATCGCTCGGCGCAAAACTCGCCCCGATCTCGTGGATTCTCGAACGACTGGAAAATCGGCTCAAAAAAGTGAAAAAGTCGCACAGTGTACACCCGGCTTTAGTTTATGATGGTGTTGATTTAACTGATTTTCATTATCTCACTTGTATCTCTGTAAACTGCTGTTTGATGTTATTGTCAGTTGTGTTTGCCTTATCGTGTTTTATTATTTTATTTGTTCTTTACTTTATTATTTTACTTTATTTGTTCTTTGTGTTGTTGTTTTCTTTTTGTTTGGTTATCCTGTTCAGATAAACAGGAGGGATTATGTTATGGAAATGTTATGTTTATTATTAACTGAATGTATTATTCTATGCCTGAAAGCATCCCCCCCCCCCCCCCCCCCCCACACACACACACACACACGGGCAGTTGCCTTGAGCTTCTGCCTGATTGCAGTTTGGTGACTTGTCTGCTTATTGTCTCTCCTCTCTCTCCAGCTGCAGGTATTGGGTTATTGATACAATCCCTAACAGTCATGTAATCATTAGTTTAGAAATATACAATTAAACTAATTTTTATAAACTACATTCTTGAATCTGTCTGAATTAATATGAAGTGTGTGTTCCTAAGGTCGTACTAAATCAAACATTCAAAGACCAATAAGATTGATCATTTATAATTAGATGGAATATCACATCTTATTGATCATTCAGTAAACGTAACCACTTCCATCACGTTACACCATCAGCATGGCTCTACACTTCATCCTGCAGCATCTGGACTCCTGGGTACCTACACCAGGATCCTGCCAGAAGCAGAAACAGCTGGAGTTAGCAGGTCAGATCCACGGTGTGTCAAGTCCACTCATGGAGGGAACAGGAAGGGAAACCACTGAAGAACCAGGATAAACAGACCCGAGGAAACATGGACGGAGACACGGCGCTGCCCCGTGGCCAGGCGGGAATGTGGAAATGGACCTGTGGCTATTCCAAACACAGGCGCCATCTTGTTAGCGGCCAGAAGAGGAGTATGGGTGGGATGAGGCAACAGCAGCTGCTATGTGTGGACTCTCATGTGATTTGTTTGTTTACATTTGTAGTAAACCTTTCTCCAGTCATCATGACTAAATGATTTAGGTTTCTTCTGGACTTTCCTGCACGAGTCTACATGTTGCTTCACTCTAACACATTTCTTATGAACCAAACAGCCTGAAGACCTGACTGCTGGATGACTCGTCTCCCTCACGTGTCTCTGGAGAGACCACTTGTGAAGAACTTGTTGACAGACTTACCATCTGACTCAGAAGACCTGCTCTCATTCCAGTCATCATCTTCATCTCCAGTTTCAGACCCAGAGTCTGACAGCTCAGAGTCCAGATTCACATCATCATCATCTTCATCTCCACTAACTTCAGTCTCTGAAGAATCAGATGTTTGTTCATGAGGGTTCAGATCTGGGTTCCTGCTAGTTCCTGCTCCTCCACCAGTTTCTGCTGCCATCTGGTCAGCTGAGCTGCTGGTTGGAACATCTCTGTCTTCTATTTGCTGCTGATGAAGCTGTGAGACCAGAGGTTTCTCTTCATCATCCTCACTCTTTATAGAAACAGCAGTAACAGGAGACCCGACAGCTTCAGTCTCCTCCTTCAAACAGAGATGCTCTCCCTCCAGACTGGTCCAGAGCTCCTCCTGTTCCTCCTTTATGTGGAGGTGTTCTGGGTCCTGCTGGTCCACACCAGCACTCTGTTCTTCAGGATCTTCTTCTTTAACCAGCACCAGCTGTTGAACATCTGTAGGAAACACAGACACATGATGTTACAGACCACCATACCTTTATATTTACACCACGAGTGATACTGGCTACATGATGTGGGGAAAAAGAACAAGAACATGAACTTCATTTAGATAAAAACATATTTCTACTTTAGGAACAATAAAAACTTCCATCACAATCAGCGTGTTTGTTTCTGACCAGAACTTCTAAGCCTCCTACTGTCAAGTGTTTTCTTCCACTGTGAGGTGCCGACACTTGGAAAGAGCAGACTTTGGATTTCACTCAGAACAATTTATTTGACCAGTACCGAGATCAGTCCGGGTTCAGGAAGCAGTCAGGTGGAAAACCTTTAAATAACAAAAATAAACGTGTAACTAAATCATGCAGATAAACTTCAATGCTGTTACAGGTAATACAGAGCAAGGAGAACACACCAGCATCTTTAGTAACCTTCAGTTGGGCGTCTAGTTTTAGACAAGTACTATTCTATCTGCTTTTACAAGTACTGGCTGCTAATTCAGAGATGAATCATTTCACAATGAAGCAAGGATGAAAAAAGACTGATTTTACCAGACAAATAATTAAATACATGAATACATCTGTTTTCTGCCTTAACTTGCTTTAACTTAATTTACTATTATTCCTGCAGTCATTTCTGGCACTCCAGACGTTAACACACTTCCTCTCAGTAAATTCCATTCACACCCATAAGGATAAAGAGTCCATATAAAGACGTGAATCCAAGAGCTTACCGACAGCCCGTCAAGATCAAAGTCTTTCTCCTCA